AAATGGCTAAGTACTAAAGCTTTAAGGGCAATCGGCATAAAAACTGAATGAGCTTAATTTTGCTACATTGAACTTTCTTTCAAGGTATTAAATTTGCATACAGAAAAAAGCCCAGATACTTAAAAAATCAATGAAATGATATGCTCAATTAAAAAGAACATGCCTGTGTAAACACAATGCTTGGTAGCACTACCATTTATTTGAAAGCCATTTTGACAACACACTGCTTACTTAAAGTAATTAGGATTTTGAGTTAGAGATAATGGAGTACAGAAAACACTGCCTTGAAAGCAGAGCCAATGTCAATACCATCCTAATCTCTTTGCACAAAAAGAAAAATCTACCTTTTACCTACACTACAGTGACTCAAAATCTTAAGAGAAAAAGACTTCAACTTGTACATTCACTCAGAATCTTAAAAATCTCTCATGGAAGGAAAGTTTAAAGGAGAGAATTTTCAAGACCTTCCTATACCTTAATGTCCTTTTCAACTCCAAATGTAAAACTGTATTTGCACTGATATAGTATTGTGAAATAAAGACCAAATCAAGAATGTAATGAAGTTTAAAAGCAGCTTCTCTTTTCTCTGCACAGGGAACAATTTTACTGATTTAAATAAGAAACTTCTAGTTGTGGGGAAAGAGGGAAGGCGGAAGAGAGAAACAGGTGATCCGTGACTCAAAGCTGGTCCTTAGCTGCTCTCTAAAAGAGGGAGAAGATTGAAGATTTCTGGGGCCAAACAAAGGTAATAAAGTGAAAAATGGAGTTTTAAAATCCACACACATCACTGAATTTATCCATTTTCTTCTAGACAAAGTAATTTTACAAAAGGAGGTTCAATTTTAAAGGATTTCTCTCGTTTTTCCATTTCTGAACTGAAACTGTTTGAAGCCCAGTCTAGTTTACGGTTTTAAAATATTTAAATGATCTTAAGCCACCTGTTCAGCAAACACAATGTAAATAAGCCGCATTAACGTTCTGGTTAAAACCTACCTGATCTGGTCTTTGCTCCTTGCAAGTTCTGTGAAGCAATGCCCCCTAAAAGACAAAGAGGGTACTCTAACAAATTCAGTTTCCAATATAGGGACCATGTAGCCTGTCCTGTGGGATAAATGCTGTCAAGAAGGGAACGCCCTCTAGAGGCCAGTCATCCACATAGTCTTTTGCAATCCATCAGAGCAGCAGTTCTCAAATGTGGTCCCTGGACCAAGAGCATCAGCACTACTTGAGACATGGTTAGAAACGTAAATTCTGGGGACCCGTCTGTTTAGTCCATTTGGGCTATCCTAGAGACAACAGAAATTTATTTCTCACAGTTCTAGAGAGTGAAAGTCCAAGATCAAGGCGCCAGCTGATTCAGTGTCTGGTGAGAGCCCTCTTCCTGGTTCACAGATGGCAACTTGTAGCTGTAACTTCACAATGTGAAAGGTCCAACGGAGCTTGCTTGGGATTCTTTTATACGGGCACTAATCCTATTCGTGAGGGCTCTACCCTCATGACCTAATCACCTCCCAAATGTCCCACCTCCTAATACAATCACCTTGGGGGTTGGGATATCAACATATGAATTGTGGGGGGACACAAACATCCAGACCACCTCACCACCTTAGGCGAATTGAATCAGAAACCTCTGTGGTGGGGTGCAGCGACCCGTGTTTTAACAAACCCTCCAGGTGATTCTGAGGCACACGAAATTTGAGAACCACTGGATTAGAAACACTTCACTCCCAAAGATGTCAGAGAAGGAAGGTGTCTCTGTGTAAAGAAATTAATTATACAGGCATGAACTAAGCTAAACTGTCTTTCTTCCAGATAGATAGATAGATGATAGATAGATAGATAGATAGATAGATAGATAGATAGATAGATAGACAGACAGACAGACAAATAAAGCTAATGCTTGTATCAAGCAAAAACATGGAGATATAATTTAGGAAATATCATGAGACCACACTATAGTTTAATGTATGAGGAAACGCTTTCAGTAACTCTAAAATTATCCCCAGGGACGCCTGGGTGGCTCAGTTGGTTAAGCGACTGCCTTCGGCTCAGGTCATGATCCTGGAGTCCCGGGATCGAGTCCCACATCGGGCTCCCTGCTCAGCAGGGAGTCTGCTTCTCCCTCTGACCCTCTTCCCTCTCGTGCTCTCTATCTCTCATTCTCTCTCTCTCAAATAAATAAATAAAATCTTTAAAAAAATAAAAAAAATAAAAAATAATAAAATTATCCCCAAACTATGGCTTTAAAGAATGATTGTGTCCCTTGATGTAAATGCTAAAGTAATGTAGATGTGTAATAGCATAAATATAGAAGAAGAGTATGGGAAACCCCAGTACCTACGCCACCCCAGGGAAGAGGACCCCACTGTTGGAACCCTCCCCCATCGCTGAGAACTACAGCCTGCCACACACCAGGTTCACAGTCATCCGACTACAGAATGAGGCTGAACATGTTAGAGTCAAGGCAGAAATGAAAATAACAATAAAAAAACACTTTCTAGATTTTTCATGATCTTTTTTATTGAACATACATAGTACATGTAAAACAACGGGCATAAAATTCATAAAAATACAATACTTCTATGTGATATCACTTTATTCCTGATACAGCGTTTCATGTTCTCCTTAATATCATTGTCCTATTTTAACACAATACTTTTCCTGCAAAGCGTTTTTTAGAGGCTTTTCTGCTTATAGAAATACTGCCCCCACTTTGTTTTCTCATATATGACAGCAAGAGCTATTTTTACCACCTCCTTGCCATCCTTACCTTCCTCACACTAAAGCAAAAAAATATTTTTAAATGCTAAAATTGAGTAAAATACTGAGCTTTAATACTGTTTTGTCATGTGTATGGAAACTACTACTATTCTATGTTGCCATAAAAGATACTGATCATCTACAGCACCGGCTGCTACCAGATGTGACCAAGGCTGAGTGTGCCGTGTAGCCCAAGGCCTCTGTTCTTAACTGACTGGCCTAAAATATAATCATAGCTTGCTGGTGGAGTTACATTAATAAATATCATTACAAAAGCATTCTTATGGGGAGAAAAAAGAACAACCTAATTGGACCACTTTCAACCTTTCCCAGCATATGAAACAGTCAAATGGTATTTTAGTGTTTTTCCTGTACAGAATTTCCAATCATCACATGTGAACTCCTCAGGAAGGGAATGACTGGAGGGTGGGGAGAAAAGAGAGTGACTTTAAAAGCACAGTTTTTGAAAACCTGGAACGGCTGCGTGTGTGAGACAGCCACGTTTCCGTGAACAGTCTCACATGGAGCGGCGCGCGCCTCCCTCCTCCCGCCCACGGCGACTCTCAGCCACCTCGGCCTCAAGTGCCCTCTTGCCATTTTTCTGGATTGCTGCATCATTGCTCAAATTCTACTCCTAATCCACGACTCCCCAGCTGCTTCCCTATTTTCTGAAACTGACAGAAGCCCAAGAAATAAAAGTCACCCAGCGAGCGAGGAGGAGGGGGCAGGCACCCGAAGACACTGACGGCAGCTCCGGCCAGAAGGAGGCTCCCGGGAAACGCGGGCTGCGGGGCGGGCTGGGGGCTGCGCGCTCGCCAGCCCAGGCTGTCCTTGCAGCTGTCTGCTCTAAGCAAACTAGTGCTTCCCCCAGACCAGGCTTGTCCTTGGGCTCTGGTGAGAAGGCGGAAAGGGAAGAGCTCTTCAGTGGCTCCCAGGAGTGGGCACCGGAAACCATCCCTGAGGACTCAGGTCTCAAGGACAGTCCACAATGAGGTTAAGCTGCCTGTGGTTAATAAAGAGAACACTGTATAATTAAATGTGTAGTCCATCGGAGTCATGGTTTGCTTAGACTTTAAAATCTTAAAACCGTTTCTCAGAACCATGAGGATTCACTGTTTTGAAGAATCTCATTTCACACAAATTAACTTCTAAGAAACAAAAATTCATACTAGGAATTCAGAGCAGGTTTGGGAATCTTTCAAAATGAAAATAAATAAGAAGGAAAAAAACATAAAGAGGAAGGCTGAATGTATTCATTCCTCGTACTGAAATGATAGTTTTGGGGATCAAAATTATAACATAAGGCTTAAGGCTTTGTCTTACTAAAGACAGGCAATTTAAAAAGTAAAATATAAAAACTCCATTTACTTCTCATTATGCGTTTACTTTTTTGACAGAAAAATTAGTCATGTTTTATTGTATCTTACTAGTAAAAGAAAAACTACACATACTACAGTCTACTGTTCCACTGTAATTTATGTCTACTCAAATACACGTTAGTTTGTAGATGCATTATATTTGGGTCATTCAAAATAGTTGATCTTAAAACTATAATTAAACATGAAAAATTTTTACAGTGGGTTAAAGGTATTAAAATATAAACATCTGATTAATACTAAAAACGAGAAAAATACACAATTGCCATTAAATTTTTTTTAACCAAGAATAAGTACTTTCGAAGCAACAAAACGAGTAAATGACACTTATTTGACTAAGAATGCTGGGAGAGAAAGAGGGAGAAAGGGGAGCGAGAAGACACGCTAATGCCACATGGTTGGTAACTACAGGAATTTGGTCCTGACCACTAGATCCAAGAATTTGGATTAGTAATGGGCAGGAAATGCTTCATTAACAAGAGCAACAAGAAACAAAAGAACATGAAGAAGTGAAACAGGTAAGTCCACATAGCAAGTACCCATGTCTGCCCCATCTGCTCTTACGGAAGTTGATGACAGGGGCCCGATACGACTGAGGAGCTTACGACAGTCACGGAGATGTCCAAATGACAAGAACAAGAGGCAGAAGAGGAAGCAAGGAGCACCAAGAGTCCATAAACTAAAATCAGCCCCTACAACGGTCAGAACTCACGATATTTGCATGCCTTCCTTGTCATGACCCATCATATTTCTTTTACAGGTAGTTTTGCTCACTCACTTTAGCACAAATATTTAAGTCAGGTACAAACATATACTTATTTGCATAGCAAATTTTAAGGGGCTGCATTGAAATAGTAACCAATTAAGGTATAAGTATTTTTACAATCAGAACGACATTTGAATTGACCAAACAAAATGTTTTCTATTTGAAAACAGTTACCTATAAAAGTTTTTGGGATTTGAATTAAAAACAAGGCATGAGTTATTAGCAAAACATTAAAACCATTACTGATGTACTTCTCTGTAGGTCTGTAGGCAGCAGTCATTCTTCTATAACTTCTAAGACCTTGTAAACACTGTTCTGGAATACAGTGGTGAAGTGTGGCTTGGAATCCTTCACCAAGAGGTTACATAAGGGAGGTTTCCCAGCATTAGCAGGATCTTCCACATCCCAAATTTCAGGCATACTGCACCCAGGCCTAGAGAAATTAAGGTAGAGAGTAAAAATCAAAGTACATTATATATAGCAGATGAAGCAAAGCACACTTTTTAGATTCCTGCCCCCAATTCATTTTTTCTATGTAAATTAGGTTAGTTTTAAAAATCCTATTATATTTATATTTATTTAAGCTGCCATAAATTCTCTTTAGAACAAGGTGAATGCAGCAAAGTTGACTATAAAAAAAAAAGAAAAAGACATACAAAAATACATGAATTCAGTTGATCAAGAGAGATCTTGCTTAAATTCTGCCTCAGCTACTTAGCAAGAATGTGGCTTTGGATAGCTCACACAGTCTCTCCCCATATTTGTCAAATGGGGAATACCCATGACGTGGGTGTGTCATGAGGACTTACAGAAAGAGAGAGAGAGAGATTGTATCTAGCTAGCACTGTGCCTGGCACACAGTAAGAGGTTAATGTATTATATTGACTTGAAAATTATAATTGGCAGATATGCTTAGGTCACATTTATACAACTTCCCACTACTGCCTCCTAGAATGAGTCAATTTAAAGCAAATCCAATGGTGTTCAGCTCATGTTTTAGCTAAATGCACAATTAAATTTTAAAAGCAATATATTTTATAAAGAATAGCAGAAGTGAAATTGGCATTGTGTGATATTTGTCCCAATAACTTCTGCAGATAACTATAACATACATACATACATTTATTTATTTATTTATTTATTTATTTATTTATTTATTTATTTATTTTAAAGATTTTATTTATTTGACAGAGAGAGACACAGCAAGAGAAGGAACACAAGCAGGGGGAGTGGGAGAGGGAGAAGCAGGCTTCCCACAGAGCAGGGAGCCCAATGCGGGGCTCGATCCCAGGACCCTGGGATCATGACCTGAGCCGAAGGCAGACGCTTAACAACTGAGCCACCCAGGTGCCCCATAACATTTATTTTCAATCTAAAGCAGTGTTCTAGATATGAACTGTTGGCTTTCACTAGGTTCACAAATTTCTTTTTTTTTTTTCCTTTTTTTGGCTTTTACTACATTGAAGATTTTTATGTTCTTATATTCCAAAATGTCACTCTTTTAGGGATGGTGATTTTTATATCTTGTGTAAGGAATTCTTCCCTATCACGATATCATGAGAATATGCATTGTGTCTTCTATGAAAGTTTTAGAGTTCTGTTTTTCACAGTTAGACCAGAACTCATCTGAAATTAATTTTTCTGTATGGTGTGAGGTAGAGATTTAATTTTAATTTTTCCATTGAGATAGCCAAGAGCTCTAGGTCCATTTATTAATTATTATTTATCAAATCCATCCTTGCCCCCACTACTCAGTACCTGGTACATTGCTTTCAAATCTATATTACCTGTTTTATAATCACCAATGTAATAACGGATTCAGGCAAGAATCAAAACTGGATGCAACCTATCTGGTGAAAGGTTGTTGAGAAAGAGGATAAACAAATGGCCTCCAAGTATCTCCACAGATTTCTTATTAATTCTAAAGGAGATCTGTCCCCTTAATAGATCAAGTGATCAAACTTAGCATCACCAATGATAGAACAAAGTGATCATTACCTCCTCAAGTGACATATGGAGAGTATACAACCCCTCTGGGCTAATTAATATTCTTGCCACAATTTGCTCAACTAAATCTAATCATGAGGAAGGAATTAGACAAATCCAAACATGGAACATTCCTAGAAGACAACTGGCCTGAACTCTTCGAAAATATCAATAAAAACAAAACAGGCAAAAAGGAGTTCACAATTTTTATGTGCTATTTGAGAAATTAAAAAAAACAGAAAAATACAAAACACAGAAAAATTATAGAGAATTGGCAACTGCTTATGTTTTGTCATGGTTGCTTCACTTTAAGAGAAAAAACCATTTCCAACATGTCCTTTTTATTCCCAAAGGCAGCCCCACTCCCCTGCTCTCCACGAGGCAAGCACCATGGCAGGAGTACATACGCTCTCTTTTTCTTAATAACATCTTCAATTTAAAGCTAACTACCATCCAAAAAGTGCCAAAATATAGGCCTATCAAAATAAGAAAAAAAAATGAAAGTCACTGTCACTGCCAATGCCATTTCTCAGAGGTGGCCTGTGTACACAATCCAGCACACATTCTGCGAGGCCTCTTTCATCCAAGTTCAGACACAAGTACGTACAAACATAGGCACAGATTTATATATGTAGATGCCCCTGGGTTGCTTTTACAAAAATGAGATTATTTTGGGACTCCTCACTTGACAAGAAAATGTGGCCATTTTTCCACCTCAGCACCTAAAGATCTACTTCATTCTTTTGAATAGTTGCTAGTACGTCCATGTATTAATGAACCACTGTGTTATGGATGGATATTCTGATTCCCATTTTGCCGTTGTAAAGTGATGTTGATATAAAGATTCTTGTGCCGGTACCTTTCTGCAAGCTGAACTTCTAGAAGCAGCACTTTGGCTACATCACAGGGCTACACAATTTTCACTTTGCCCCTGTCAGATTATCTCCCAAAAGGTTTTACCAATGAGTGTTCTCAAGAAGAGTGTAGAGGGCACATTTTTTGCACACCCTCCCTGACACCAGATTCTATCAACACTTGAGTACTTATGACAGTAAGATTGGGCTTGGGTTCTCTACCACTTAATTTTCTCACACATGCTGAGTCCCAACTGTGACTACATTGCTGGCTGTGGGCAGTAGAGAGCACAACACACGGGCAGAGAAAACTACCTGGCTCCTGGGTTCACCTGCTTTCAGGAGAAAGAGAAGGCTAAGAGCTGCCTTTGTGAGCTCTGTCGGCCTAAGTGTAACACCCTGTAGTCCTTATCCAGTTTCCGGAAGCTCCTCCAGGAGCCAGCCAGCTAGATCTTTAAATAGCGTTATTGAAAATGGGAATAATTTTCTTCTGAATTCATGTGTTTTAATTGTATGTCAACTCTATTATTGGAATTAATGAGAAAGAAAGCAGAGAACTGAGAATAAAAGAGTAGATAATTAAAAACTCATCTACAACTTGCATTTGAGTACATTTTCATACTTGTATTTGAATACGTGGTGTCAAGTATTTAAAGAATAATCAAGCCACACAATTAAAGCCACTGGTGCTGAGATCACACAAATGCAGTGCTCACCAATGTGCTGGGCAGAGTTTAAGTGCTAGATATATATTGAGTTCCTCTTCCCTTTCTTCTCCTACTGAGTCCCTACTTCCTCCCCCTGCTCTGACACACTCTTCTCTTCCAGTAACCTACAGATGTGTCAGGCATAACTGAAATGGACAGTGGAGTCCAAAGCATTAAAGAAGATCCTTCTGTCAAGAAACTCAGTTTTCCTACTGCACTAAATATTAGTCCTTCTTCCCTTTCCTCTCCTGCCTCAGTTCCCGATTTGCTTCCCTGGCAGAACAGAAACTGCAGCTTGTGTTTTGTTTCAAGGTTTAAGCAGAGTGCACCTGCCTAAGGTTTCCTGAGATTTATTATCAGCTTAAATCTTGTAGTAGATGGAGAGTGCTTTTTTAGTTACTGAGGAAAATAGATTAGAGAAAGTCACTTCCCTTAGCTTCCTCCTCTCCATGCTGGAAAAACACAGGGGCAAGTCAAGGTCCAGATGGGGAAATCAAGCACACACTCCCACCCCAGATTCTCAGTCTTAGTGCCCATAAATGAGCGCTAAATGGAAATGATCCAAAGTCAGTGAATTCACTGCTGACCTTGTCTAGTGTACAAGATTGATTGCCATACTTCCTAAATTTGTCTTTCAGCCCTTCTGGTGTACAAAACAGTGCTCTGCCCATCAGAACATGAGACCACTACAGTGAGGCAAATCCAAGGAGCTCCATCAACATCTTAGGATACAAAGCGCCCCAGCCTCTGCAATTCCCACACATTCAAAACACTATGCACAGTCTAGAAAAAAAATGAAGAATCTTGAATCAAGGCTCATCATTAGCTTGGGGACAGAAAGGTCATAAAGCATTATTTTTATGTTCCAGTAACCTATAGGTGTCTCAGGCTGATCACTGAACTAGAGAGTGAAGCCCAAGCCAATAAAGAAGATCACAATGTGGGTGGAAATCTCCGTCAAGAAACTATGTTCTCCTGACTGCAAATGTCAACCTACCATTCATTTACATTACGATGTCCTCATAAAATTGTTATGAGAGATGCTTGTGGCTTTTTTGTCCTAAGTTTATATAACAAAGTTAATTAAAAGCGAGATTCTTATGTTCATAAGGAACTAAAACATTTTCTGAATTACGACTCTAAGAACAAGAACATTTTGTATAGATCCTGATTCAATTCAAGTCACCTGGGACCCATTCATAGGAAAATCATTCAATAATCAACAATTGTTTGAGTTTCCTTGTGGGCAATGTGGATAGCTACTGCATCACAGAACGATTCTCACTCCTGAGTCAATTATTTAATTATTTTGTCTTAACACCCTTGTGTATCACTGAAATACATGGTGAGTAAGTATGATTAAGCCACAAACACAGCAACCTCCAAAGGCCTCTGTTTAAAGGGAAGTGAGAATTTTAAAAATAATAGTATTCCATAAAATACTCTTGATCTCTAATGAACTCCTCATGTCTGTGATCCTCATGGAGCCAATGCTTTGGTATTTTAAAAGCAAGCTCCTGTCATCGGCTGTCTCGTCACCCAGGTGTAAGATTTCTAAACAGTCAACTTCACAATTCATATTTGCTTTGCAGAGCTTACTAACTTTTGCTATTCTATGCTTAATGGACTTCCTTGAGTGGAAACAGTTTTTCAAACTATAAACCCAAGAGAATGTGGGTCACAGTAAAGTTAATTATTTCCCCACTCAAATCAGATGTGGAACAGCAGAAGGAAGGGTCGCTCTGAGGTGACGCTGGGACGGAGGACCTGTCCCTCACGGACACGGTGCAGACACGTGGCATGTGCAAAGGAGGCCCTCTCAGCTGCCTGCCTTGCTTCATTACAGTGAGAATCGCCACTATTTGGTTGCAGACTCTGCAAGTCTTTTTAAAAGAAAATACATCCGACTTTAAGTTAAAAATTTTTATAAAAACATCAAAGGCAAATATGAGCAATTTGGGAAATTGTCAGTGCCAATATAATACCTTTAAGGTAGTGTACGCATGCAAATCATTATAAAAAAAACATTTGTAATGAGCAGAAAGGAAAAAATTCCAATGCAAATAATGATCTAAAAAGTTTTACCACTTATACTATGCTGAAAGTTACATATATCCCCCATATATGACGAGTAAAGCATTTGCCATAGGACTGAATTAATTTTCATGTCTTATGAATATAAAATATTAACTGTGTTGAATACTCACTTGGATCTTCTTATACACCAGGACTCTTCTAGAATGTAATAATTCACTTGTAACTTTATCAATTCCCGCTTCACTTCTTCAGCTGCTTTTCGACTATACATTGAGTAAACTATTTTCGTTCTGGCTCTTTAAAGAAAAATAATTGGGCAGAAGATTTTCAAGATTAAAAGGATGCAATCAATCTATTTGGAAGAGAGCACTGAATGGGAAGAAGAAGAAAGACTACAGAAGAGTCAGGTCAAGAGAACATTCTTCACAGAGTTCCTGCTCAGGGGCATCGGGGAGGTCAAAAGAAAAAGGTAGAAGCATAGCATAAGAGTCCTGGGAGAAGAGGCTCAGTTTAATGCATCCCTGCATTTCCAAACTTAGTCTTTTTGTTTGTTTGCTTGCTTGGTTTTGTTCTGTATTCTCCATGACCCTGTCATACATGAGAGTAAGGCCTGCTGTGCGTGGACGCACACAAACACGGCTACCCGCCTACGTTACAGCTACACCGCAGTCCCAACTTTGAACGCAGCCAGAACTGGCATTCACGGCTCTCCGTTTTATTCCTAGATTAAAAAACAAAAAAACAACAACTAAACTTATTCAACACAACTGTTCTGGAAATAAGCTTACTGAAATTGATTTTTAGTGAAAAGATTTTTTATTTATAAAACAGAAGTGTCACTGTTACACAAAAGAACAGATTAATAGGATTCACCCACTCAGGAAATGAATAGCTTGACCTAACCCAGAAATTGCATGAAAATTAAATCTATGTCCTTTTCAAAGAGAACACAATAACTCTAACTTATGAAAAATATAAAACACAAAAACCAAGACCATTCTAGTAGGCTACATGGGTGAAAATCAGAATAAATTCAAATCTTTGAATGGGATTCCATCAACTGACTCCTCAGAATTCAAGAAAAATAGCCAAAAGGAAACCTTAATAAAAGATAGAGGCTCATGAATCTTCTGGGGAGCTTAAGGAGGATGATGACTAATAAGGACCTGGCTGTCTTGCAATGCACTTCACCTGTAGAAGACAGACATGCTATGATTTCATTTTGCTGCCTAGTAGAGAAGAGAACCCCCAACGTTGTAGTTTTATTGCCCAATAAACAGTTTTGTATCTGACTCGGCCCTCTTATTTCAGCATTGTTTTCTCCCCTAATTCTATAAATCCCCGTTTGCCGCAGCCTTCTGGAAACACTCATTATTTTACTGGTTCCCTCACTCAGGATTTGTGTGAGAAATTTGTTTTGGGTGATGCAAGAATTGTGTACTAACCTTAACCCTGCATCTTCGTAATGCGGATGATTCACAATGGGCCGAAGCGCAGAGAGCTTCACACTTGCCATTGTGGGCATGGCACCTGCAAACACTGCGTCTGCAAAGCAGGAAAGACGGTCTCAGGAAGACACTCAGTGAGGGTTACAAGGGTCTCCTTCTGGTCAACTCGGTCACTTCCCAGGTGAGAAAGTGGAGGCCCAGAGAGGTTCATGACTTAAAAGATTCAATAGAAGAACCAGACTGAAGTCAGCTGGCTGGTAAAATGGCTATCAGCCCGCTTGGGTAAACCCTTTTCTTTGGAAGTTAGAGCCTCCTCCTTTCATCAGTGAGGATTTCTGGGGCTTTGTTTGTTTGTTTGTTTGTTTTTGTAATGTCTTAGGAATCTGTCCTGCCTCTAGGAAAGAATAACAAATTGGCTAGGAAAGTTTTATAGCACCCAGGAATTCTGGGAAATGATTTAAAATTCAGTCATTTGATACTCAGATAACAACAAAATCTCCCTTGAATAAAGTGTCATATTTTGAGTTCATTTCAAGAAGGAATGTGCAAGACTAAGATTAAAAACTCATTAGGAAAATAAGCACAACAAAAATTATTTTAAATTATGCCACATAAAACTTTGGATAAATTCTGAAAAAACATTAGAATTCATGGAAGAAAGCAAAATAGGTTACTAAGAAAATATAACATTTCCTTTGCAAACCATTTAAGTAAGACTGACATCTCTCTTTTTCTGAATAATCTAGAAGCAGCACTGCTTAGAAAGAGTAAGGTCATTGGAAGTAATGTGGGTTTAAGATTTTGCTGTGGCATATAAAACTATGGGGGAAACTTACCTGGTTTAGTACTGTATTTGATCCATTCTATAAGTTCTTCTTGTGGCAAATTGCTGAACTCCCCTACAATATTCCACTGGGTTTGCAGATTTGCTGAACCTTGTATTGACATTGCTGCTAATACAGCAAAAACAACAGCACCAGGATGTACTTTGCAAAAGAGCCATCCAAACAGCTGAAACCAAATGAAGAATACACTGATAATTGTTAGTACAAAGCAGCCTGCATCCAATAAACAAAAGTTCTTCCCAGAGAAGAACGCAGTCTCTGGCAGAGTCCCAGATAAAGGACTAATTATTCTAAGAAAAAGTTCCAGAAACAATGACCAGAAGGATTAAAAGAATTTTGCCATTAGCCTTACATCGGTGGGACATAATTTAAGAAGCAGTTCTCTCAATTTGTTCTAATTCCAGGTTCAGGTAAAGCCAGGACCACCTACATAATTTGCCAGGCCCAATGCAGAATGAAAATATGGGGCCTCTTGTTCAAAAATTATTTAGAAGTTCAAAAGAACAACAGAAGAGCATCCAAGTAGGTGTAGGGTCCTTCTGAGGGTGGGCCCCCATGTGTTCGCAGAGGTCCCACACCTGTGAAGCCTTCCCCGGGGCAAGGTTCTCTATCTTCAGTCATGGCGCAGGCTGGGATTTAAGACGCGAGGCTTCCCATCAGCCTCCTTTCCTGTCCCAGCCTGGGGGAGTCAGGGAGAGTGGCTTCATCCCTAAGTTGGCCTCCAGTAAGCATTGCCTTTCTAACACAACACCACCATTCTGATTGGGAACCTTGAGGCTGACTGATCTTTCCATTCAAATAGTCCACACTCAATAACACTTTGTCCCGCTCATTCTCTCCTTAAATTCTCTATGTCTGGAGAACCAGATCCAGCTTTTTGAGGGCATATGTGTGTGTGTGTGTGTGTGTGTGTGTATATATATATATATATATATATTTTTTTTTTTGCTTTTTGACTTTTCTATTTACCATTCTACCCTCATCTCTAGAGCGTGCTGTAGATGCTTAGTAAATATTTGCTAAATTTAAGAAAGCGACCGCTGCTGCACCTTGGCTAATGGTCTGATGAAAAGGGGACACCATGTAGAAGCATAATCTGTGGATACAGAGCAAGGAGGCAGTTAGCCAGGAAAAATAAGTAGCAAATAACCAAAATGGCTTACACTAAATTTTAAAAAGTCAAGCCAGGGATGTGCATACAAATGTATACTCAAATGAAAAAAAAAATTTCTTTAAGCTCGATACCGAAAAAGAACATCTATTTGAAAGTACCTGCAACTTGAAATCACTGGTTAGAATTCTTTGGGGTAGGAATATCAAAACAACAAAAAATTATTTCTACAATGAAGCTCTGTTTTCTATCAACATCTGTAGTAATCACTCATGAATTCAGCCTACGCTACTTGAGTATTCATTGTATGCCAAAGACTATTTTAGAATACATGAGCTGCTTTGGCCTTTGCCCTTTAGGAGAGGTTAATACAAAACCATGAAGAACTTTCACTACAACAGTTTAAAGAATTTTGAGTAATTCAGTATTATTTTAGGGGGCCATTCAATAACAAAAGCAGGGGTAAAGTGACCATAGCAGCTATAACGCCAACATAACCACCACCTTACCTGTCTTGAACAGATCAAGGAAGCCATAACACACATGTGTGGTGTCAGGAAGAGTTTTAGTCTCATAATCAAGATACCGAGGACTGTATATGCTAACAGTTGCAATGCATGATAAACTAGCTGAAAGAAAGAGAAAATATTTTTTCATTCCTGCTATTTGTGAAGTTTAATATATTGTTAAATAGATGAATATCCAGAAAAGGGTGCTTTTTCTTAGTAACAATATTGTGATTTCTGAAATAAACGAGTCTTAAAATTCACTTTCAAACTTCTCTATCTTATTAGAAGCTAAAATTATAAGCCACTACCATAAGTGGTTTTAGAATTTTGCTCAGAGTTAAGCCTGCAGTTAATAAAGCCCACATTTCTGAATCAAACTTGGTGCTACCATCAGATTAAGGTAGGAAAGTCGTAATCAAAAATAATAACTGCTTGAGATCCCAGAGCTCTGCCTTGGAACAGCCATCAAAACCAGGCTGAAATATGCAGTACCGTATTATTAACTGCAGTCACCATGCTGTTGCTAAGAGAGTAGATCTTAAAAGTCCTCATCACAAGAAAAAAGATTTTTTGTATTGTGATGGATGTTAGCTAAGACTTATTATGGTGATCATTTCACAATGTACAAACATCTGATTAATTATGTTGTATATCTGAAACCAATATCATGTTACATGTCAATTATACCTTAATTAAAAATAAACAAAAATGAAGGAAGGAAGGAAGGAAGGGAGGGAGGGAGGGAGGGAAGGGAAGGGGAGGG